TATATATATGTATATACATATATATATTCTCTTCGCGTATTTATCGAGCAGGTTTTTTTTTTTGCGCGCGCCGTGCCACAGCAATTCGAAAGGCAGCTACGACAACGTCGCTGCTCGAGAGCCGAAAAGCGTATATACAACAAAATATTTGGTGTGCCTTTATGAGGATTACACACACTCACACAGAGACAGCCACACACAGTCACACACACACAGACTCTCAGAGATTTCGAGAGTTGAGCAATCCGCGGCCAAAAACAAACCAAAGAAAAACATACCAAATTTCCCAAATTGGCGTTGCCACCGTTTTCCTCCATGTCAAACACAACAAATGTTTCCTGCTCCCAACTCTGGATGAAATAATGAATTTGTTAACTAAATGTTCGTATAAGTTGATTTATCTATATATTTATATATATTAATATTCGGTGATAAAATGTATTTGTTTAAGTTTCTTTGACATATTTCACATGAGCATCTGGCAGCATTGTGCTGGGGGAAAACTCTCGCAGCTTTTCCGACACGGACATGCGCACTGCGTCTGCCCGCTCTGCGCCTACCCACAGGTCGTATGAGTAATCGTCTGTTGTTCAGTGCAAGGCGCAACATATTCGAGCGTGTGATAAGACGCATTGTCGATGACGACAACGAGCCTACGCACAACTATCGCTTTCGCTTTCCCCCGTTTAGACTGACAGCGAGAGAGTGGAGAACACGAAGAGCGGGAGACTCAATCTGTGTGAGGGCGAGAGAGAGAGAGTGCGAGCGTGTTTGAGGGCTCCGAGGCAATTTTTTTGGTAGGAGATATGTCTTGTGGGCCCTAGACAACTGAGCGCTGCGTTGAGTGAGGTAGGAAATTTATAGCTGTTATCAGACAAACACGCACACAGACACACACACAGAGAGCGAGGCAGCCCGCGGGAAAGGCACGAAAACAAACAAGAATCGGGAACTAACGAAAACTAGGTCAAACCCCAGTACCCGAACCACCCGAACTGCCGAATAATTTCGTAATGAATTTTACAACAAATTTTAAAGCTGTGAAAAATTATGGAATAGCGAACATTACTAAACACTTGGAAATTGGAATATTCAGGAAATACACAAGATGAAGTGCTAAGAAAACACACATTTCAATGGAGGGGCATATATTATAAATAAATGTCTATAATTTAGTAGCTGCTAAAGCGCAAAGTCAATGCATATACATCGATTCTAAACAAAGGAAGTTGTAAAACTATTCACCAATTTTGAATAATAAACCAGATTAAATATTTATTTTTATTAAAATTATTCCTTTGCTTTGATTATTTATTTATTTGATATACATACTTTTCACACATCCTTCGCATATAGATTTATACGAAAAACAAGATACAATCCTAAACGAGAGAGGTGCGAATAGTATTCAAGGAAATGTCAACTACTATGTAACTCAAAATGCAAAATTACATATATATTCATTTCATTTCATACACATACATATATAGTAAACAACAGGCATTTTAGATAACAATTATTTTTATTTATTTGAGGATTTCATTAGAAAACGTGTCACTGTTCTGGCTACCGGAACCAACTATTGATTCTTAATTTGATTTACAAACAACGTGGATTTATGGGCTTGCATCGAAAAAAGTAAAAATTTAAGCTTTTTGTCTTTGGGTTTTTCTTAGATTTTTACAATTTTTTTTGTTTGTGGAAAATTTAGTCCTACGTTGATACTGTATTCTCGCTCTTGAAAATGTACAAATGCTAAAAGTATTTTTTCTTCTTTTCTTGGGGTTTTTCATTTTTTTTTTTTTTTTTTGTTTGTTTGCATTACATCAGATGGAAATTACAGCTAATTTGCGTTCAGCACATTGCTCACTCTGATGCGCTGCGACATGTACCAAAGGTTTGTGCGAAAACTAGACGCGAATTTGTGGATTCTTGGATCGTTTGATTGTTTCATTGGGAATTGGGCATTGGGTTTGTATGCTACCTTTCTCGGCTTTCTATTCTATTCTACTCGTCAAAGCATTTGCGTATATGTGCATGATTCTATGTAGAGTGTGTGCGGGTGGGTGTAGCTAATGCTCGCCTGTTTAAGAGTCTGCAGCTGCAACCGCGGTAATGAGAGGGCTCTTTGCGATGCCATTGCGGCGTTTGATGGCAAATTTGGCTACGCCTTTCTGACACTCAGTCGAGCCGCCCATGAGCACCATGAGTAGCCCATTGTGGGCCATTGCGTTCCAGACTCGTTCAATAAAACTATCTAATTTGGCAGCAGTGCGCTGAGCACTTTCCAGCACAAAGTCCTGCTCGGGCACCAGCAGATTGGCAATGGTCAGCGCGTTCTCCAGCGCGATTTCGTTCACCTTGCGTACAGCTTCCTTGGTGCTGGACACCTGGTGCACGTAGACCGTCTTGCAACTGTCCTTTGATGCAGCCTGCTCTGCCTTTCTGATGACCTCCTTCAGGCCAGGCTGCAGATCACCAACAGTCACGATAGCCGTGCGCTTGTCCCGCTTGGCTGCATGGGCCAACAAATTGTTTTGTAGGCCATCGCCGCTGGCGGCTCGAATGACGTCATAGATGCGCTTGCGCTGTGTGAGAATCTCGTCGCCAAACTCAATGCTGTTGGCCAGCTTCTTCTTGACCAGCTTGAGTGTGGCGAGTGAATCTTCAATGGAGTCATGTCCATCCTCGTGCTGCTGTATGCTCTCCTGCAAAAATCGTTGGGCCAGGTGCTTGAGCTTGCTCTTGCGCTTCCGCACGCCGCTTATGTTGAAGCACACACTGGTGTCTATCACATACGGATGCATCATTCGCATGGCATTCAAATCAGAGTTGAGCGATTGGCCAACCAAAATTGCGTCTGGCGGCAGCAATTCGGATACCTCCCGCTGCACATCCACCAAAGTCTTCGTCACAGACTGCATAATGTCAGCCGTGATGCCCGAGTATTGCGTTAGGTAGTCAGTGATTTTATTCGTGGGACGCACCAACGTCTCATACACGGTCTGATATTTTTCATCCACTATGGAAATACGCGTCAGTTCGTTTTCTCCGGTTATTGTGCGACACATCTCGCAATCAACGCCGTACATGGGACTGCGATCGGTAACTGGAGCATATGATTTTTTTGTAAACTTAAACGACCTGAATCGGGCGTGTAGCTCGCCCTGCAGTGGTATCGGATAACCCTCGTCGACCAATTGCAATGCGGAGAGCAATAGTTTTGTGCGAGGAAACTTGTCGTCTGGATGTAAATTGGGTGCTTCTGCTTTTGTGGACGGCGACTGTTTCTCAATGGGGAAAATCGCCTTTACGAGTAGCGTGGGATCCTTGTTCAGTTCTACAGCTGATTCCAGTGAGCCGTGCTCGTTAATCAGCTTCTGGGCCTGGACACTGGTAAGGGGAATCTGAAAACAAAGTTAAGCGATAACAATTAAATTCAGCTCGTTTAATGAAAAATTGTCATCGACTGACCTGCGCAATTGTATCAATGATCCTGCCCTCCTCATGCGGTGGCAGCACCACCTCAAGCTTTGTATCGAATATCCTATTGGTAGCCTCGAAACGGCTTTCATTCGACATATAGTGGTAGAGCGATAGGCCATCCAATATTAGCACCACGCTGTGCGATAAGCTCTGGAACTTGTCGGCACAGCACCAGCGATCGGGTGCGCATGGACTCTTCTTACCAATGAGCGCTGACATCAACAGATGCTGTATGTCTGTAAGGAATATGGGCGTTCGTTCCTCCTGAGGTATTTCGAGAAGTGCACGTCGGCCCATGTCACGTAGATGCACGCCTGGCACACTCTCCAGTTCGCGCTTGCGACGACGCAGATCCGTGGACAGAGACCTGTATTGCTCCTGGGTGAGTGTGGCCGGCATGTCGGCAAGCGTATTGTCGCCGCCTGCTGAATTGTGGCGACTGCGCTTGATTTCTGGCTCATCGTGGTCCGCCTCACCAGCATCGGCGGTGGCAGCAGCGTCCCCGCTGCTGTCTGCAATAATAGTTAGACGATTCCGTGTCTTTCGCTTGCTGCACACTGTGATAAAGCCGTCATCCACCTCGTCTTCATTTTCGGTATCGCGATGTTTCTGCTCTGCTTCATGTAAGCGATCCCTGTCGTTCAACTGTATTAGATTTGCCAGCGCTGCCAGTTTTTTCTTCTTCTTCTCATTGCGCTCCTGCTGCTTGGACGATTGTTGTTCCTTCATCTTCATTCGCCTGTTGGATAAACTGCACGACACAATAGAGATGAAAACACATGTGAGTTCTATAGTTTTTCTGATTCGTTCTGGGAACAAGTTCGAATGAACCAGCTGTTGCATGCATGTTAATGCTAACATGTTGCCCTGCTGCTGTTAAAGTCATACTATTTGCCAATACCTCGTTTTAAAATAATTAATTTGTCAAATATATTGTTTTGTTGAATAACGAAAATAATTATTTTGTAAATAATATTCCGTCTGGCATTCAGATGAATATAGAATTGATTAGGAATTATTATAGGTTTACACCATTAACAGAAACGATACCTGAGGAGCAGCAACTCAGTTAACAGAACTGCTCCTCAAAAAGCGTTTACAGAAATGCGCATCTGTAAACGCAACAGTTGCTGAACCCTAACTACATTAACCGTTATAATGCCGCGTGTTTTTAAGAAATTCTGCGAATGAGTTCGGAAGAAGCGTTCAATTAAAATATTTGACGGTGCATATCAACTAAATAGTGCCAAATATGTATACGGCAGTTAAGCCACTTTCGAAGTATTTGCAACTGAAGTCGGTTCGCATTTACGATGGCATTTTCACATTCCACGCTAAAGTAACTTGCGCCCTTTTGTTGGCTTTCACAGTTTTGCTATCTGCAAAACAATATTTCGGTGATCCACTAATTTGCATATCGAACATGAACGACAAGGACTTTGTAAACTCCCATTGCTGGACAATGGGGATGTATATTATGAACTACGAAGATTACGAATTGGCGGACAAACAAGAGAAGAAAATTGAGAGGGATTATAAGAACCAGTTTCTTCGAGCTGAATTTAAGCCTAAAATGGATAGTAATCTACTACATAACGCGGCTCCCTTGACTGCGGATCCTTCAATTCCACAAGAGCGCGTCTTTTTACGCTACTATCAATGGGTGGTGCCCGTCCTGTTGCTGCAATCGATTATCTTCTATCTGCCAGCATTTCTGTGGAAGATTTGGGAAGGCGGACGCATGAAGAGCCTCTGCTCCAATTTGGATAATGTACTGGAATCGAATGAGAAGACTACAGCACATCTACGCAAGCTGGCCAAATACTTTACCAACGACTACCAGGACACACACTTCCGCTATTTCACTTCCTATATATTCTGTGAAATTTGCAACTTTGTAATTAGCGTAAGGTCCAGCAACTGCTTCACCGGAATCTTTAGTTAATTAGAGTTTCATTCCAGATTGTCAACATGCTGCTGCTGAATGTGTTCTTGGATGACTTCTGGTCGCGCTATGTGAAGGCTGTGGCTGCAGTGCCCGCCTATAACTGGGATGAATGGAATCGCATCACGACGCACATATTTCCCAAAATAGCGAAATGCGAGATATTGAAATTCGGCTCCAGCGGCACCCTGGAATCCATTGACAATCTGTGCCTTTTGCCGCTGAACAACTTAAATGAGAAAATCTTTGTTTTCATGTGGATCTGGTTTATTCTAATGGCCGTTTTGGCAGGCTTGAAGATCATCTATCGTCTGGTCATCATTTTCCATCGCGGTCTGCGCTTTCAACTGCTGCGCGCGCAAACACGCTTCATGCCCCAATCGACATTGAAACGCGCCATTGCTAATTTTAGTTGCGCCGATTGGTTTATGCTAATGCGTGTCAGCAACAATATGACTCGCGAGCTATTTAGCCAGCTGATGGAGCTGGTCTTTGACGAAAAATTCCCCACTAACAAGCCAATTCCAAATGCGGACGACAAGTTAGCCTGAACCACTTTATAAACCCATTTTCTATTTACTAAGTACTGGTCGCATTGCGGGCTATATAGTTACGAAGAATGACTATAAGTTAATTAATTTTTGATATTGATTTACAAATACTCGATATGAATGAATTATCGAAATCCTAATTCTTACGTTAATTTTCAACAAAATAAGTAAACTGAACGAGTTATCGATTATTTTGAAGAACCTTATTAAACTGCTTATTTTAAAGCTATACTTAATTTATAACGTTTGAAATAACTCACCATTCGCTCTGGCTCGACTGAGAGTATAGAATTGTACCGCACATCTTGCTCACCCGTTGTGTGAGGTGAACTAATCGCAGTAGTTGATAAAGCAGACACTTTACTGAATTTTGCATCAATTTTTTGTGAGTGATTTCTGCGTTATAAATCTAAATAATAATGAAGAATGATTAATTGGTAAATGAATATGTAATAGATTTACTTACAAGAAATCTGATAATAAAATTTTGATTTGGACTATTTCCTCGGAAGTTTTCATGGAGGTTTTTTTATTAACGGGTATATTTATTTGCGTGTCTGTTTTTCGAGGTCTTTAACTAAAAAAATATTTTTGTTGTACGTTTTTAGTGTACAAAATTTGTAAAATGACAACTGAAATCCAAAAATATCAAGGCTTGCTCGACCCCAACAAGGGGCATTGCCATCCAAAGCAGAAGAAGAAACCCAAAGAACCCAATTGATACTGAAATTGATGCGTTGTTGGTTGGCCTCTGGTGGGTGGTTCGTTGCTCTGTTGCCATCGCCATTCCCTTCAACTTGCACTCTAGACGCATTTTTGTGCATCGCTCGCAATTTCAATTGCAATTTTCATTAACCAAAAAATTGTAAAGTTCAAAACATTTTGTACACAGCACAGCAAAATGCGCCACCATCAAAGTGGGTCGCACACAAGCTGATCCACTTTCCGAATGCTTCAAAAGCGGGCCCGGCTCCGTCGATGTCTTCAGTTGCCGCTTGGAGCGCGCGGAAGTCGCTCGCATTCGAAATCGTCGATATTCAGTTAAATCGTGTGCTACCACATAGAGCCGGTCGGTCCGCCAGCCCAATTTGGATTATTCGCTTCCGATTTTTGTTTAAGTGAATCGCTGTAATTGGATCCTTCTACTTTTTTTTCTGTGTTCGTCTTCTGTGTAATAAACAAGTGTAACAAAGTGAAATATACAAAAATAAAATACAATCATATCAGAAATCTCAACTAGAAATTGTGTAGTGTATTCAAAAATATGCATAGAATAATTTAATAAGATATATTGTTAATAAGTATATCTAACTAAAATGAGTCAAAGTTTGGATGGTATGTCAGACTTTGCATTAAAAATATTTAAATATAAAACTAGATCTTAATAGCATTAATTATCCAATATATAGTTATGTTCTTTTCTTAATCTCCATAAAAAAAGTTTAAGTACTTGGCAGCTATTTAAGCTTATGTTTTCATTTTGTTCAATTTCCACAATTTAGTGCATCAGCATTTCTTCAGGTTGCGAAACTTCTCTGCAGAGAACTCGCTGACCAAAATGTATAAATAAAAAGAAATTGAAAATATTTTCGATAAAAAAAAGTGTTGAGTTGTTGTTGTTTAAGTTAATAAGTTGTTAAACATAATTCAATGCACAGCAATACTAAAATGAGTTCAACTCGACTCCTACAATATATGACTGCATACATTGTATATGAGAGGGCATCGACTGGATTATACCCTGCCTGTGTGGGCGACGTTTTTGATAAGAGTAATAAAATTAAAGTTCAAGAGTCTAGCTAAGAGCGAGGAGAGAGCGGGAGAGAGAGAGACGGAGTGGGAGACAGAGTGGAAGAATCAGGGGAACTGATACTATATGTCATAGAAAGCTGTTCAGCAAAGGAATTACAATCCTATAAAGAATAGAAATCTCTAGCAAATATAGCCCGACCTTATAGATTACAATTCTAATTGAATCACTGCAATCTATTACGCTTTCCCAGAACTCGAAGCGAAGCGTTTGCCGCGTCTTTCACGCCGGGGCTGCACTGCTCGGCTGCCTTATACACGTATTCTGATCATATCCCTGGTGGTCATAGCGACACTACTCATCTCACTCATCTATTATGGCATTGTGCTGGAGCGCATGGGTAAATAGAGCAGCAACAGCTTCAGACGAATAATATATATACATAAATATTGCATAACTCCTCAAATACAGATCGCTTGCGTCAAATAATGTCGCTCAATGAGAAACACGCGCGTCATGTGCAGCCCATTGATGAGAAGGCGATCGTAATAGGGCCGCAATTGGAACCTTTTCGTACACCGCTGAGGAAAGCTGATTCCGAGCCGATTGCAACCAAGAGCGAGGAGCAGCTATTGCGCTTAAAGCATTTGCGCTTCAAGTTTCGCTTGAAGCGCTTGAAGCTTCGATCGCGACGCAGTCTGCAGTCTTTAGATTTGCTGGATCCCATCCAGCTGGAGGCCAACATGCAGCAGCTGTATACCAGGATGCGCAACAAGCGAGCCCGGGCAGTTTTGAGTCAGCTCGAAACGGAGTATGTAAGGTGCAAGAAGCAGACGCCAGAGAATTGCATGTCGGCTTTCATGCGCATGTACCAGATGGCCAAGGAGGTAACCGAAAAGGTGGACAAGATGAAGGAAATCATTCGGGATCATCTGGGCTCACACAGCGTCGAGTCGCACGAGTTTGAGCCATATGCTCCGGCCAAGGCGACGACGAACGCAACAGTCGATCAACTGCAGGAGGCGACGACTCCGCTCACAAACAGCAGCGCAGCTGGCGATGGAGACAACGAGGAGACGACGACAGTGAAGCCCAATAGGGTCAAGATAAAACCAGCGCAGATCAGCTGGATTATCGATGGACCCGGACACGATGAGCAGGAGGCGTATGTGGAGAATACGCCCAGAGCCATGTTGGACCTGAGCAACGGAACGACAACCACTTTCGCTACAACAACAATGGAGAGCACCTTACCTACGACAATGATGGACATGGAAACAACAACAACAACATCTACTGGTAATAACAGCTTCACTAGGGTTTCTCCATCTCCGATAGCTTCGACAACAACCTTAGCCTCCTTTACTAGCACCACCAGCCATCATTTGTCAATTCTAACCACTGAGGGACCCGAATCGGACAACATAACAGATCAAATCACTTGGATCTTGGATCGTTTCGATAAGCCCAAAGAGATCGTGCACACCACAGAGCGAACCATGGATAAAGCCACCATAGAAACCACTATGCCACCTAGCATCGAACATGACTCAGCGCCATTGCACTCCGATAGCCATATGAAAGAGCAAACTACCAGAAAGTCGACGACAGATGCACCTGCACCACTGGCAACCACTGCCAGAGGACTGAATGAGACAACAACACACAAGAGCATAGAAGATCAAGAGGTGGAGAGTACAATACACACGAGCACCACTCCCACCACTACCGCAATACCCACTACAACACTCCATACAACCACAACGACCGTGGCTACAGATGGCGCCAACCACACGCCCTTTCCGACTAAGCCCAAGCCAATCAAAATCAGTTGGATAATTGACGGCTATGTGAACAGCAATGAGGAGAGTAGCACAACTCAAGCGCCAACCACTGTAGCCACCACTCGCACGACCACGCCAATCACCACTGAGAGTGCAACTGAAGTCGCGTCGTCACCTACATACCCACCTACAACCATTGAGAACATTGGGACTGACACCACCGAACTCACACCCACTGGCATCACGACTGAGAGCACCAATCGAACCACCATCACAGACACCACTGAAGCTGAAAATGTGCTGAATGAAACTACTCAGACAGCTGCCACTGAAGCTACATTTGAGAGCACCACTCACATAACCACCAACAACTCCTCTGGGTGGGCAGCTGATGCACATCCATTAGATAATCCATCGAGCATGGAAAATATGATAATTGTTACAGCCCAAGCCCCGGCTGTCACTGAAGCCACCACCAGCAACACCACCGAGAGCACCACTCTAATAACCACGGAAGTAGCACCTCAGGTACATCCTTTAGACAATCCCACGAGCATTGAAAACATGGTGGTTGCAACAACCGAACCAACAACCGCCGTAGCCACTGAAACCACCACAGAGAGCACCACTGAAGGAGCGCGCGGAGTGCACCCGTTGGATAATCCAAGCAGTATTGAAAACATGCTGGACAGCTTTGAGCGCCATGAGGAGGAGAAGCCGCTGATCCATGTCCTGCCCAGCAACGACACTTCAAAGTCTGACGAGTCGGAGAGTTTGGACATCTATGATCGAAAGCATTGGCTGAAGCAGTTCGAGAAGGATGCAGCACCGAAGCAGGACGAGCTCATCGAGACATTCGGCACTGCGCAGGACACTGAAAGCCTGAAGCAGCTGGGACCCAAAATAAATCCCGTCAGTGGCAAGGTGACAAACGGTAAAGCTAGCTCGATACTCCCTTGATAAACTCTCATTTATATTGAATCTCTGTTCTTGCAGCTGCCGATGCACAGCTCATCACCATATGCGAGCACTTGTCCCGCAAGCTGCAGCTGAAGGCAGCCGCCGAGGCAAAGGAGGCGGACAGCAATGAGCCGTACACCGCCTCGCCGACCGTGCAGTTCACGAGTCGAGCGCCTGGCGGATTTCCGGTGTCTGGCGAGACGATGAAGGCCTCTGCCCAGTTCATGTTCAATCCGAGCTTCGGCATGCCCAGCATACCCGTCTGCTTCTATATGACTCCTGCCAACTTCCGCATGCCCATGTGGTCGGCCACGCCCTCGTTTATGGGCATGCAGGGCGCCCAGTTTGGCGGCTCATCGAATGCGGGTGGCATCTTCTTTGTGCCGCAGCAGTTCGGGCCGTCGGGCAACTTCTTCGGTGGCAGCGCCGGCACAGCGGGCGGTGCGCAGAACCAGCTGCCCAACATCTTCTCGAAGAACGCCTCGCCGCAGAAGCAGCCCAACGGGCAGCAGCAGCTCTACTGCACCTACATGCAGAACCAGCAGGGCCAGGCGGCACAGACGGGCAACATGACGCCCAACAACCAGGCGGGCTTCTCCAATGCCAACTTCAAGATGCGCCATGCCAACCAGACGGGCGTGGCGCAGCGCAGCCAGATCATCTACGCCTCCTATCTGGGCGTGCCGCAGCAGCCGCAGGAGCGCTTCAAGTGCCCCGAGGCGGAGCAGGTGGCCTGCTTTGGCCAGAAGCAATGCATTGCCGCTTCGCGCTGGTGTGACAACGTCGTCGACTGCTCGGACGGCAGCGATGAGTCGGCCTGCACCTGTGCTGATCGCTTGGACGAGGATCGGCTGTGCGATGGCTACGCGGACTGTCCGATGGGCGAGGATGAGCTGGGCTGCTTTGGCTGCGAGCCACTGGCGCACTCCTGCTACGATAATGCCGGGGAGTATGCGCGCCACAATCGCTCCACCTTGTCCATGTGCTACAGTCGCTACGAGCGCTGCGACGGCGTCTTCAACTGCCTCAACAAACGCGATGAGCAGCAGTGCAGCCTGCTGGTTAGAGATGTGGCCAATCCCATGGTAAGCTGAAAGCGGAGTCTCTAGGGTAATCTGACTGCCACATTTCCCTTTCGCTTTTAGTCGCATTCAGCCACCGCCTCGGAGGGCTTCCTGTATCGCAATCATCAGGGCGAGTGGTATCCGGTTTGCAATAATGGCGACAGATGGGCCGCCGATGCGTGCGAAGTGTCGGAGCACGGGGAAGCCACTAATGTGACCTTCAAGCAGCTGAAGCTGCCGGGCCCATTCATTGAGCCATCGCTGCACGCGGGCATTCACTTTGCCCAGGCCTGCCAAGGACGCAATGACCAGGAGACGCTGCTCGACCACGTTGCCTATGTCAAGTGCCCGCCCAGGCAGTGCGGCCTGCCCAGCAAGCCGAGCGAGAGCGTGCGCTCCAAGCGCTCTAGGCGGGCGCCCATTCAGGATAAATTGGAATCGGGCAAGAGTCGCATCGTCGGCGGCAGCTACGCCGCTCCCTTGGAGTGGCCCTTCGCAGTGGCCATCTACCGGGATGGCAAGTTCCACTGTGGCGGCACCATCTACACCGAGCACTGGGTAAGCTCTCACGAATCTCTCAGAGTCTCTGCTAATCAGCCTCTGGCTCACAGATCATCAGCGCTGCCCACTGCGTGATCAACTTTGGGAAGTACTACTACGAGGTGCGCGCTGGACTCTTGCGCCGCACCAGTTACTCACCCGCAACGCAAATCCAGCCCGTTTCGCATGTGGTGGTGCATCAGGGCTACGAGCGGCGCAGCATGCGCAACGATCTCTCCCTGCTGCGCGTGGCAGCACCGCTGCAGTTCAATCGCTGGGTGAAGCCCATCTGCCTGCCGGATGTGGGGCGGACGACCTTTGGCGACGACTGGATCTGGGGACCCGAGGAGCACACGCTCTGCACAGTCGTCGGCTGGGGCGCCATACGAGAGAAGGGGCCGAGCAGTGAGTAGCCAAGCAGTCCGAAATAATAAATGCCATTCCCTTTATTCATGTCTGTTGCAGGCGATGCCATGCGTCAGGTAGTTGTGCCCATACGCAAGGGCTGCACGGATCCCGAGGACCAGGCCTCGGAGGATGTGTGTGCCGGCGAGCCGGGCGGCGGTCGTGATGCCTGCCAGGGCGATTCGGGTGGCCCGCTCTTCTGCCGCAGCGTCACGCAGCCGGAGCAATGGTATTTGGCAGGAGTCGTGAGCCACGGCAATGGCTGTGCCCGGCCCAAGGAGTTTGGCGTCTATACGCGCGTCGCCCTCTATCTGGACTGGCTGGAGCTGGCGGTGACACCGCGTCTGCTGCCAGCACGTCAGCCCCTCCAGCGCTGTCCCGGCTTTACCTGCGTCTGGGGCGGCAAGCGATGCATCGCCCAGCGACGCCGCTGCGACCGCAATGTGGATTGTCTGGGCGGCGAGGATGAGGTGGGCTGCTCCTACAACTTCATACCGGACATGGTGGGCGGCACTCGGCTAAATGTCAGCAGCACCACCGAGAGCGACTATTATCCCCAGGAACAAAAGGGCCCACTTGACCAGGAAGTGCAGCAAACTGAGAACAAACTACGCCAGGATGTGCCCATTGACAATGATGACTTGTTTGCTGACTTAACAACTGAAAACGAGGAGAGTGAAGCGGGAGCCATTACGGAGGAGCAGAGCAACACGCCAGCAGCAGCAGAGGCCACAACCACAGACAGCTCAGCAACAACAACAACAGCAACGACAGCAACAACAACTTGGCCCACGCCCACAGAGGATTTGATGAAGTTGACGGACCTAATAAGCCAACTGCTTGAAGAGTCAACGACGTCCACCCCCAGTCTGGCCACAGCAACTGCAACAAGTGCAACAAATGCCACAGACGAAACAATGGCAACAGTTGCAACAACGGCAGCAACAACAATTGCTGTTGCAGTTGCAAGCACAACTTTAGAACCGACTTTTATAGGCATTGACAGCACAACTAGGCAAAGTGTGCCACAGCCTGCAGCAGCAACGACAACAATAACAACGACAGTTGCCACAACGTCAACCACACAGGCAACCACAACAAACAGCAGCCAAGTTCAAACGGAGAAGCCATTGGCCAATAAGTTTATTTGCCAGAAGTCAGCTAAGAAGGAAAACTTTTGCCATCGATAGATTAAATCATTTGTTCAACATTTGCAGATTGCCACAAATCATTGATCGGCTGCATCGCTGCGATCGCAAGGTGGACTGCGAGGATGGCACCGATGAGCTGGACTGCAGCTGCCGGGACTACCTCAAGGGCAGCCTCAACGCGCTCATCTGCGACGGCAAGGCGGACTGCGAGGACTTGACTGATGAGCAGAATTGCGGTAAGCTCAAGGTGAACTCGATAAGATGAAGCACTCAAGATCCATTCCCGCTCCAACTGCAGGTGGCTGTGGGCCTGATGAATATCACTGTGCGCTGTCAAAGATCTGCCTGCCGCTGGCCAAGCGCTGCGACAACGTCGTCGACTGCAAGTTCAATGAGGACGAAAAGGATTGCTGTGCGTAAGCGAATGCTCAGCCATGCTCTCATCTGACTAATGATTCTCTCTCTCTCTCTCTCCCTCTCTCACTCTCTCTCTCTCTCTCTCACTCTCACAGTTGCCCTGACCAATGGCCATGACGTGCACTTCGATGCCCATCAGAAGCCCAAGTTCAGCAACGTCGGCATCTTCTCCAAGAATGCGCATGGACTGTGGCGCGTGGTGTGCGCCCACGAGACGGGCTTCCACGAGCACCAGGCCAAGACGGCGGACGCTGTGTGCGCTCTGCTGGGCTTCAGGGGCGCGCACTACTACAACAGCACAGAGTTCGTTAGCCAACGGCAGATGCAGCCCATCACACCAGAGCTGGCCAAATCCCGGGCTAGCAGCGATCTGCGAGCGCTAATGCGTGACAATGCGCAGCTGTCCAGCAATGAGCTGGAGCACTCCCACCAGCAGCAGACGCTGCCCGGCCAGCAGCGAGCGCGCGTGCTGCCCAGCAAGTGCCTGGGCATATATGTGGAGTGCAATGCCCGCTCCAATGCGACGCTGCCGCTGAAAACCTTCAGCGCTGGCCAGGCGGTGACGCCTCCGCCCGCTGAGCAGCTGCCTGAGCTGCTGCCCTCTATCCAGACAAACGTGCGGCCATATGTGCACTTCAAGCCGCTGCTGCCGCTGCAGGTGGTCAACAAGAAGGATGAGATCATGGATCACCTGGAAGCGTTGATCAAGAGCAAGAACAACAAGACGCTGCTGGTGCAGGAGCAGCTGCACGAGGCCATCGAAGATCTGCATTGGCCCTGGCTGGCGGATGTCTATGTGAACGGCGAGCTGTGGTGCTTGGGCGTTCTGCTGGACAAGCACTGGCTGCTGGTGCACGAGACCTGCCTCGCCGGTTTAAGGTTTGTGCCATTGTTAATCTTGATCTTGGTCAAGTTGTAATACCCTCTTCCTTCCGGCACAGCTTTGATACACACTACATTAGCGTCCTGCTGGGCGGCGGTAAGACAAAGCGCTCTCTGCACCGCAGCAACCATGAGCAAATACGTCGCGTGGACTGCTTTGAGACAGTGCCTCGCTCCAATGTGCTGCTCTACCACCTGGAGCAGCCGGCGAGATTCACGCACTTTGTGCTGCCCACGTTTCTGCCAGAGATGTGAGTAAATTCAATTTATGGCCACATCCACAGTCACTCAATCCCAATTTCTCTTCCAGCTCTGCTGAAGACGAAGTCGCTCCGCACGAATGCATCAGCGTGCTGCACGATGATCGCACGGGACGCATTAAGACCGTGGCCATTGCTTCCATCACGAACGACAGCAGCTGCAGTTCCTGCTACCAGCTGCAAGAGCGCAAGCCGTCGAGCAACCTCATGCGCATGCTGAATCTGAGTGCCGAGGACATGGCCTCCATATCGGAAGAGGTGGAGCTGGTGAGCGGCGTGGCAGGTGCCAAGTCGATGCCCGCCCTGACCACATTCACCAGCTGCACGCAGTTTGGCCAGCGGAACCAAACGAATCTGCAGAGCCAGCCCACAGATCAGGGCGTGCTGGTGTGCAGGGATGTGCACACTGGCTGGTATCCTGCGGCGATCTTCAACTACAACAACACCAACTGCCGCAGCTTCAGGTCGCCCTTTGCCATTAGGAAGCTCAACGAGGCCTACAAAATGCTGCAACATGTCATAGGTATTGCCCGAGCAGAAGTTTCTACTCAGAGTAGATTACTGATATATGTATATGCATGTGTATATGTGAATCGCCCTTAGATCATCCGCATTGCAGCAATGTGCTGGCAACGCCCCCTTGCGCCACCCATCGCTGTCCGCTTGGCGCCTGCCTGCCGCAGTCGGCGCTCTGCAATGGCCGCAACGACTGCCACGATGGCAGCGACGAGGATGAGGCCAAGTGCCGCGAGCTCAAGCAGCGCTGCGGCCCTGGCGAAATGAAGTGCCGCTCGAGTGCCAAGTGCGTGCCGAAGAGCAAGTTCTGTGACCATGTGCCCGACTGCGAGGACATGACGGATGAGCCCACCATATGCAGCTGCTTCACCTATCTACAGTGAGCTATATAGACCTCCCTTATACTTTTGTATAAGCCTATTCACATCTCGCCCTCTAGAGCCACGGATCCCTCTAAAATATGCGACGGCAAGCGGAACTGCTGGGACAAGAGCGATGAGAGCTCGGTGCTCTGCAACTGCACTGCGGATCACTTCCAATGCACCTCGTAGGTCGACTCGAAAGGTGCAAGATTAATCTGAACTCTAATGAATTTCTTCGACAGCTCGGATGATTGCATTCCACGCGACTTTGTCTGCGACAAGCAGCCCGACTGCCCGGATGGCGAGGATGAGCTCTTCTGCTTTGGCCTGGAGCATCCGCTGCTGGACCAGCATGAGGATTACTGGGCGCAAACGGAGCACGGCTACCAGAAGCCGAGCATGCAGTACGGCCAGGTAATTGAGCAGTCCTACGGCATTTGGCACACCAAATGCTTTCCCAAGAGCAAGCCGCCGGGCATAAACGAGGTGCGTGAGATTTGCAAGAAGCTGGGCTACAATCCCGATCGGCTGCCCAGCTATCGCCTCCTGGACGACGCCAGCAATAAGCCGCAGCACACCTTCGAGGTGCCTGATAGGCGCGGACGCGTCTTCTCCAACGAGACGGTGGTGGGCAAGTACCGCGACTCCACCAAGGCGGTCATCATCAGCAAATTCTCGCCGCTGCAGCTGAACGAACAGTTGACGCTCTTCCTCAAGCCCAGTCGAGCCATTGCGGAGCTGGTCCGATGGAACGCCACGGACTCGAATAGCTGTTACAGGCTGGAAATACGTTGCGTCTGAATATTGAATAGCCCCATAATATATAATAATCCCATAATATCCCCATCTCCTCGTTGTACTTTGTACGTTTTAGTAGCAAATAAAACGAGTATTTAGCTAAATATTTATATGTTGTTTTTTATTTTCTTTTTATTTTAATTTTATTTATTTTTTAATCAGTTTTCTATTTGTTGCATAATTTTTTTTATTATGTATTTCGCTTGTTTTTAATTTATTTATTGATTTATTAATATGTATTATTATTTTTTGGTTGTTAATATTCTTGAAGCTGGGTTCCTGGAATTTTTCGTATTATATATAACAAACAAATTTATTATGTTTATATAAATGTAAAAAATCGCACGTTTTGTTTTCATTTTTGTTTTTCTTGTTTAGTCAAATTTTAAACAATTGAATACTTAAAGCACTTAGCATAATTTTTTTTAAGTTTGGTTTTTAGTTTTGTTAATTATAAATTCGTTAAAAAGATTTAAGATTGATTTCTTGTTTGTTTGTTTGTTTTTTTTTTTTCGAAAGAAAAGGTACTTGAGAATCGTGAATATAATTATCTTAGGAGTAATTAAACACCATTTGGGGATTAGTCCGGTTAGTGGTGATGTACATTTAACAATATATATTTGAGATTTGTAACGAGCATCTTTGGGCTTAAAGAAACTTCTAAAGAAGGCTGGGTATAATTGGTTTATACAACTTGTTAGAAATATTATAATTTTTATAAGTCTTTGGCGCTGATTATAACAATATAAACATGGGAATACTCTTCTAGGTTTAGCTAAATAGTGGAACATAAATAAATTTTAGGGAATTTTTAGAGGCAAATACTTTAAAAGTTATTTATAGGAGAGCTTGATTTTTAATTAAGTTTCAGTTTTTCTTTTATCATACAAAAAAACAAGTTTTTTTATTTTATAATTTCAAATTGAATCACAAATGTTTTTGAAAATATTTGTATTATGTATGAACAATACTTAGGCTAGTGTGTTTAGTTAGTGTGTGTTAGTTTTTCGTTTAAATGTGCCTATGTTTTTCTTTAAGTGTAGTTTGCGCATTGTAAAGCTAGACTAAAGTGTGGCCTTTAAGCTTTCGGGTGTGAGTGTCAGGGATTTGATTTAATATATATGTATTTATATGTGTGTGTGTGTATAGTACAGTAGTATAGTAGATAGAGGCATAAAGTTTTCAACACAACCTTTTTCGCAATTCTAAGTTCAGAGTTATAGAAGAAAGCGTATAACGGTAAAAATGAATGGCCAATTGCCAAAGCCTAGTTGCTTATACTAAAACTGAATCTAAGCTGTACTTGCAGCCATTTCCATCATATTTATGATTCTACATATCGTTTACGTTGTCATGAAACACAGCAGTTTATATATTTACATGTACAATTTGTTGTTGTTTGTCTTCTTATATAATTTATAAGTACCTACCCGATATTAGTTGCTGTCACTAATTTAATGGCATCATTATCATATATCGTATTATTTTAAGAATTCGTAAACTTTACTAACTACGAAATGTTGTGGGTTAAATGTTGTTGCTAAAATTCTTAATGAAATAGTTGGTGCGTTTTTATTTACAATTTGTTTATATATATTTTTGTATATCTGTATCTAGTAGTTGTTAACGTAAGTAGTTTAGTTTAGTTTAGTTAGTATTTGCTAAGTAGGTATATTAAAGCTTAGGAAGTTAGTAGATTTCACTGCAAGTTTTCACGATTTTCCACCCACTGATGAGCGCCGCCTCTTCAAATCAAAATATATATTTATCATAGGTGGTTAAGTATATGTCGTTCATTTAGTTATGTCTAGACTCTAGAGTTTCATTTATTTATATTTTTCCTAAGTGTGGCAAATCTCGGCAGCTGTCAATTTCCTTAGTTAAACATAGAGAATTTAATTCTTATGATACATTTACTCTACAGCCGTAAAATATGCCAAGGATTTTATTGAAATTGGCCTCAGCCCAAAGGCTAACTACGATTTGTCCTTGGAGTAGGCTAAAGCAATGTAGCCTTCCCAAGGTCGATTGAAATGGCTTCAGAACAAGCATTTTCTATGCATAGATCATAGGAGAGAGTTCTATTCAGCTCAGCGACTCGCCACGTTTTCATAATAAAAATAATAGTAAAAAAATATTCAATAAATAATTCATATATATTTCACTAAAAATTTTCACAACACGCACAAAGTAGTTGAGGCTTAAAACAAAAATTTCTTTTTACTAAATAAATAACTAAACAAAAAGTAAACAAACACCTTAAGCAGATGACGTCATTTGTGAAATTGTTTTGTGCGCATTTGTTGGCCCATTCGAACTTTGGCTTAGGCTACAAATTAAGCATAACTAACTAAACATTCAGTTAACAGAAAAGGACTTGACGTTCAACAGAAGCATACAAGAGCAAAACATTTAAAATTATAGTAGAGTTTATATAAATATATGTATATAGAGTTGACTATAATTTCGATCACTAAACAAAAACGTTGACTAAATGACTGAGCTGTTTGGCTAAAAGCGTGCGCATGATTTTAAATGTAAGTTTGAGTTTCAGTTTGCATAGTTGGCTACGTCAGCTTTCGTTTCTCTCCCCAGGCTATCGCTGTCAAATCCATTCACTTTTTCTCGCAACTCTCTTGTCGCAGACGTCTGTGGGTAGCACGAGGGTGGTGGAGCCGAACCTCACGGTTCTTAAGTACTCTTCTCTTTGCTCTTTTCCAATCCATTGCTCTCCTCGATGGGCGGTGCGTCCAGCTGGGTGCGCACCAAATGAGCTGGCAGCTTCATATTGATGGGATCGTTAATGCGACTCAGATTGTACTCCAATTCCGCGCTCTTGCGCTTCAGCCGATTGTAGTGCTCGATGTCAAACTGCGCTTTCTTCGCGTTCCTGTACATGTTTAACGAGTACTCGCGGTTGTACACATTCTCCATAATATATTCCTGCCGGGGCAATCAATCAGTGTTACTATCACATTCTTTATTGGCAAGCATGTTCGTTCAACTTACGCGCTTCGTTACACAATAGTAGGCGTACATGGCCATTGTCGTGCCGTAGGTAACAAAATAGGTGACCGGCTCCATAATATCCCAAGAGTATTCCCACCAAGTTAATCGCGCGAGTATGCCGAACTGCACGGACATCAGGCCAAGACCCACCCAGGTCATCATGTTGGTGCGTCGCTCGGCCTTTTTGACCAGCTCCATTTTTTTCTGCCAAGCGATGGTTAGGTTAGTCCAGATCAACTGCTTAAGTGAGCTGAGACAACTCACCTCCTCGAGTGGCTCCAGTTCGTAGCGCAGAGTTTCCAGTTCCTTGGCCAGTTGATTGCTCTTCTCCAGCTGATACTCGCCCACATTGAAGGCCTCATAAAGCTATTCAAGCTACAATTTAACTAAAGATCTTTTGGGAAAATGAAATAATGGAAATACCTGCGCTATGATCTTGCGCACTTCGTCCATTTTGTCAATCTTCTCTATCGTGATCTTTTCACGTTCCGGCGGCTTGACATCCAAATTACGATTATTGATTTGTATGCTGCAAATAAAATTGAAATTGCGATTAAAATCTGAATGGTTTTATTTATAATTAGTTCAAGCTGTGAGACCTACCTAAACTCATCGTCCAGCAAGCGCTCGATGGTGCAGGAGGAAGCAATGCGTACGCCGTGCTTATTGATAATTGCAGCACGATCTATGCCCCGATCCTCCTCCCTCAGCATGGCCAGCAGATGCCCGACCGTGTGCGAGATGGGCTTCAAGGCGAACTGGCAGAGCTCATTGCGACTGGGCAGGCGAACTGTCAATTGTGGCATGCCATTCACATACTCCAATAAGACGTCATCTGAGGGTTAGTTTGAGTGAGAGTAAAAGAGAAAGAGAGAGGGAGAGAGAGAGGGAGTTGGATTTAGTAAAAATTATATATCTTAGTTAATATATAAGAAATCTATTCAGCTACAGCATGTTGGGCATATCAATAAGAAGAGTGAAGAGTGCAAGAGACTGAGAGTGAGAGAGAGGGAATATTATCTACCTACTCAGGCAGATTTTGAAATCATATCAACTACAGAAGATTATCTAAGGTACATATATCACATTTCAAATGAAGAGAGAGGGAGAGAGACAGAATCAGACAGAGTATATATTCTTGACGAATACTTTTTAAGCTCAGTATGCTCGCTCTATCATATTTTCGTTAGCTCTTATTATGGCTTTTATTCGCTTCTTTTTATAATCGAGAAGAGATTGCCGAAAACTCTTTCAAAGAAATTTTTTTAATCTTACTCACAGAGCACTGCATGAAAATGACTTTTAGCCACAAAATTTGCAGCCAAGTGCCGAGTCACGAAGTGTGGCAACTATTCTAACCTAACCAAGCTATAGAGTTACAGTAACTGTGCCAGACTGCATTGCAGTTATTATTATTATTATTATTTTTTTTACTTATATATACATTGTTTTCTTCTGTCTAACATTAATTGCTCGCTGTGCTACTCAAGGTTGTTGAATGCAGTTAGTCGTACGAATTGATCGCTCAGGCGTGACAAACACTTGACGCCTGCCCCCAGGCGCTGTGGCGCTGATTGCCAATGAGCTACAAATGCGCAGATGAGACACAAATGACAGCGCCAACAATTCAATTAGTGTATTATACGCATGCGAATGTGTTTGTGTTTGTGAGTGTGTGTTGCAGTTTTCACTTTGTCGCATGCGTGGGCGCTGCGCTTTTTGTGCAATAACTCTGAAGTGGCACAAAGCGCAGCTACATATAGGCCTTGTATATGTGTAGGTATATGTCTATGTAATTTCTATATATATGCTGTGGCACATGCAACACGCCAAGTGGCCAGCGAAGCAAGCAATAGCAGCAGCAACAGAGGCAGCAGCCCAATAGCTTCTAATAAGAGATTTGCCTCAGTTTAAGCGCATTTACTGGGTCTCACTTGGAGTTGCTGTCTGTAAGTAGTTGCTGTTGCGTTTGTTGCTGCTGTTGTTGTTATTGTTGGCGCCACTGAAATGTGGGTAACTCATCATGCTGTCGTTGTTGTTGGTTGGCCAAGTCCATCGCTCGGTGGTAGCTGTTGTTGTGATTATTATTTTCATGCACTTTGATTTTTTGGGATTTTAAACACATTTGATATGTGTGTTTTATGTTTTCTTTTTTCTCTCTATCTCCTCCAACTTCTACTTCTTTTCTTTTATTTTATATACATATGCTGTTTTGCGGCTTCTGCTTGATTATTGATAGTTTGAGAGTTTTGTGTTAATTTTCAGTTAACTTTCAGATTTTCGCGCTTGCAGACGTGTGTCTCGGTTTGTTGCTCGCCGACTCCAATCGCTCAGAGTCTTACGCACACACACACACACACACACTCACACACGCAGTCTGTAATTGTGCTTTGGTGTTTTAGTGTACGTGGCAAGAAGCTAATAAAAAAAGAAGTAAACCTCAATGCTATAAACCATATGTGGTATAAGAATATAATACCCAACTAGCCAACAAAAACTAACTTAGCCATTTGATGGCTACATAGATGGCCAAAACAAAAGTTCTATGAACCTGTTTGCGTTCGTTCAGCTGTCGTGTCAAAGTGCTGCCACAATTACCATGAAAGCTGCCACAATACACACCCACACCCACACACACACACACACACAGCTACACATTTACACCCGCCTACAACGCAAAAAGTTAAATTTTGCGTACTCTGACAAGCGGCGATAACCAAGCCGCAGGAAACATGAGGAAAACACACACACATGCACACACACACACACACATTCGTTATCAACGACTAAGTTGGGCGTCCTGTCACTGATTTTGTTTTTGTTCCCAGTTGAATTTGTTTGTTGGCCCAGCAAACACTGGCTATAGAGGTATTCAACACGCCCTCGACTAAGCGCAAAGAGAAACATTGATTAAATTCCTGTTACCCTGTGGCAGCGTGTCATGTCTTTGCCCCAACTTTTGGTGCTTTTGCTCTCATCAAAACTTAATAGGCAGTTTCCGCAGGCCCAGCGCACGGTTAACAAGTGTCGCACACACACACAAACAGCACACAAACACACATGCACACACACACAGTCAAACATTTGCAAAGGAATTGAGGTCAAAGTGTAGCAAGCGGAAATGCAATGCGGCAATCAGCCTAGAAATTTGTAACAGTCAGCTTTTGTCCGTGTGTGGCATGTGTGCCTATACGAGTGTGTGTATGTGTGTGTGGGTGTGTGCTTTGCAATTAACTCTCTTTAAGTCGACCACGCGCTGTGCAAATACGGTGCATATTGCAGAGTATTTGCCAGCTTCAGTTGACTCTAATTTAAATGAACTTTGCACAGCTAATTGGATAGGCAAAGGTCACTCGTAGAGCTATTTATATAGACCCATTTTTAGATGGGATTAACCTATTATAGCTGTGGAATAATTTTACTTTCATAATTTGAAATTTGTGAATATTTTAGCGAAATTATTAGACCCAAAAAACTTAATCAAAAGTTTTTCATTTCCCACACTTTTAAATCAGAAAATTCGGTTAAAGTTATTAAATTCCTGTTGCATATATGAACGTGTTCCCAGTCAGTCGCTGCTGAGGCCTTCGTTTATACAGATTGTTGTCGGTTGCGTTTGGCTACGTGAAATTGTCAACTGTTGGCGGGCAATCAAAATAGCTTGGCAACTGCGTTGCATACTTAAAGCCAACGGGGCGTATGCGTGTTACATGACTGCACGAGCTGCATGTCCTGGCGCCCGCGTTGCTGCTCCGGCGCGCATCATTGCAAATGCCTCCCCCTACAATTTGGCTGTGATTTCATGCTAATGCAACAACGTTCAACACCAGCTCAGCAGGTTGTGCGTGTGTGCGTGTGTGTGGCGAATTGGCATTTGAATTGAATTATAACAAGTCAGCTGAACCGTTCAGAAACTGCGTGCATAAGACATTTAAAAGTACGTTTTCAATTAGGCAAGCAAACGAAAGCGCAGAGTGAAAAGCGTGCAGCAAATACACGGGCAGAGCTATTAGCGGGTAAGTTCAGTTAGCACAGGGCGGAGCAGGGGGAGCATTGCTTTGTGCTGCGATTACGCGAATCGACGACGGCGGCGGCTGCGACTGCGGGTCCTTTGTGCTGCACAGGATTGAGGACTGCGACACCCATTTGTACCTGACCGACAGCTACCTACCATTGTGTGGCGCCACAGTCGAAATGCTGCCACCAGGCGTGCGAGCAGGAGCAGCGGTGGGCGAGGAAGTTGAAGGCGTGCTGCTGGCAGTGTTATTTACGAGCGACTGTGGCGGACTGGTGGACTGTAGCTCCCTGGAGCCAACGGGCGACAAATTGGAGTTTGTTGTTGTTGCTGCTGTTGTTGTTGTTGCTGTTGTTGTTGCATCTTCCGGTGCTGGCGTTGTTGTTGTACTCACTAAGCGTTCAATTAGGGCCTGCTTTTTGCCCGTCACGCTCTCGCCGCGCGCTCGCAGCAGCTCCTTCAATTCCCTTAAATTGAGGCGACCAAAATCTTCGGCTGGCAACGGAGCGCGCGCAGCACAACAACAACAAAAAGTAGAATAACGTAAACACAATGAAAAACATAAGAAAAAGAAAAGAAAAATAGGCGTGCCAGAAAATAAGTAGAAAGAAATTAAAATTCACCAAGGAAGGATGTTAGCCAAGGCAAAGAAAAAGGAAATTTAGAATATACATATACATACATACATACATAAGGAATGTATGACAAGCGTTAGACAGGAGCAGCAGCTGCTCGTGAAGCCTCGTCCGGCGGGTGCATAATGAATCAACAAGCAAATACGGCGCACAAGAAAAAGGGCAGCGCATAAAAAGAGAAGAGAAAAATAAAAAATAAAAGTGAAGGGGCAGCAGCAGGACAGAAATGCCAGGAAATAAAGCGCAGTTAAAATTGATGGCACGTGCAGTTAACGCCACGCAAAATGCACATAAAAAATATCAACAAACTCGGCGTAAGTGTGTTAAAAAATAAAATAAAATAAAACGCAAAAGCATCTAACAACAACAACAGCAGCAAAAACAACAACAAAGAGACAAAACCAACTGTGAATGGCCCCGAAATGTTGATGAAGACACGCGCCATGGACGCGCAGGACATAGAAGCAAAAGGCCTGTGACATCTTCTTCTACTCAGCCTTCTCTTGTTTTTTTTTTTCTCTCGTATTTTGATCAAAAGCAGGAAATGACACGCACAGCGCGAGACATTAATGCAGAGAGTGATGATAGCATGTGGGTGTGGCAGGGGGCGTATGGGTGATGCGATGCAATGGGACGTTGTGGCATGCCACAGCATTATGAGCCGCATGCATGACAAAGTGCCAAGTGGCCCGATTGTGTATAAGGCACGTAAATTATCTCAGTTATAAATGCGAGCGAATTTCGTAAATGAAATATTCTATTATTCAATTGTTTGTTAATGATTCATTTGGCCAACATAAATAATGCCCGGGCATTAGAGAAATTGCATTTTACCCAGCATCCGCTGCCCTCTGTCTCTCTCTCCCTCTCACTCTCTGTGTTTCTCCGCCTCTCTTTATGATAAAGCTTTGACTGGCTTTTGGTTTTGGATTGCAAATCTATTTGCTTTGCCCTTTGCCATTCTAGCCACTTTGGTCGGTTAAAGACCATTTATTTATACGACTGCCCAGCATTGGCCCATTTAATTTAAAAGCAGCAGCAACAATTTGCAACTTAATGCGAAGTACACGAAACTTTATTGAGCTAAATATGCAGCAGAACACAAAAACGGGAAACCGGAGTTTAAAACAGCAAAAACATAACTTCAAAATACCTTCAAGCTAATCAAATATTTATGAAAATTGCGAAATGCTATAAACAACACACCCACTCTCTCTCTCTCTCTCTCTCTCTCACTCACTCTCTCACTCTATCTCTCTCTCTCTCTCTTTTCCCTCTTGCACATATACATGTATTTATATTCCCCCCTTTTTATTTATTTATGATATGCAGGGCAATAAATTTGTAGCCAGATTTTGAACACCGTGGGCATTGAATAAATCGCGCTTTATGACGCTTTCAAGTTCAAATCACTTTGCGGCCGTATAAATCAGAGCGAAATCCAGCAATTTATTAACTAATTTTAAAGTGTAATTCGAACGAACATAAGAGAACAATTCAAAGACTTTACTCAATTAATAAAAACTACCACAAAACAGCGAACGAGCGAGCGAGCCAAAGGGAAAAGGCTGCATGCACTTTGGTAGTTGTTGGAAAAATCAACAAGAGCGACGATTTTTCTTCACTCTTTGTGTGTGCGAGTGAGAGTGTTTTTGTGTGTGTGCTTGTTGGTGTGCTATTGTAGAACCGCAGCAACCGCAGTAACCGCAGCGGCCATTGTGTTATCCGTTGTGCTTAGGCTTTTAATATTTTAGTTGCGTTGGCTTTTCATGCTCATGCCCTGGTATGCGACTGGCGTGTGCTAAGGAGCTTCACCTTGGGCTGCTGCTGGTGCTGCTGGTGCAGCTACAGCTTGGCGTGTGCTTGCGCAAACAGTCAAAGCAACTGCGCTGTTTGCACGATATACTTAACAGCCGCCGCATGCGAGGCTAACAAATCTAAACAAAGCCAAGAACTTCAATGCGCACAAAAGTAGGCAATACTTTTTCCCATTTGTCTTTTCATTTTTTTATTTGGGCGCAGCTTGTGTGCAGTGGGTCAGCTTTTAGCTGCATGTGTGCTGAGCACACAATTTAGACTTCTGTTTTCGTAAATAGACGAGTGCGATTGGGCGAGACTTCAATTGTGCTGTCATTAGGTGCAGAGACCATTGAGAATAAATAAAAGACATGCTGAATTCATGTGGCAGACAGAAGAAACTTTCTATGAACAGAGGAAGTATATTGATTCTACAGAAGTTTGGGAAGGTTGAATCGATTTAGCTATGCTGCATTGTTTATTAAACATCAGTAAAATATTTTTTTAAAAATATATAATAAAAGACTTAAACGTGAATACACCTTAATGAACGAATTTATCCAATTTCTGTTTTAAATTGAATAAATTTTAAATGCAATTTCAATACATTCCTAAATGTAATATCAAAAATGTATTTGAAAGCTCTTAGCGAACCTTTGCTTCAACTACACTCAATACAACAATTTTCATTACTTTTCTCTTTAAAAATTCTCCCTAAACAGTCAAAACCATCTAAGTACTTAACAAGTTTCTCTTGTCTTTGCTTAACTGATTTTTGGGAATTTCCTTTTGAGCGTCGTTCATTTGTTTCACTAGATTGCTGCAGCAGCAGTAGAAGCAGCAGGAGTCCATAATCGATATCTGTAAATTGGCCTTCAGCCGTGCACAGAGCGGAAATTGCACAATGTGTAATCGCATTTGGTTGGCTCGTTTTATGTTGGCCCAGTTGAAAAACAAGGCAACGACGAGGTGTAAACTCGACGGGACTTGAACGCCATCTGAACAGCTGTCGTGGACACTTTTCAGCTGGCGATTGCCTCAAGTGTTGTGCCACATCTTCGTGTTGAAGTGCCCTCAGTCGAGCGCTCATTATACGAGCCACGGCCTATGGCTCATGGCTCATGTGAGCTTTTCCAAGTTGCCTCAAGTTAAATTAATTGCGCAAACTTTGACGAGAATATTTTCTAGCATATTATTTGCCACTTGCAGGCGCTGCTTCATCAAGGAGGCGGAAGCGGAGGCGGAGCTGGAGTCTCTAGTTGCGGCGTGGAGGACACGCGGCTTCAACTGCTTCGACGCTGAATCCGGCTCATTTTGCGCTTCAAAATAGGCTCCGGACAGAGTCACAGCCTCTGCTATGGCGGCACGATGGGCAACGGATATTTTCGAACGTCACAAACGTCAACATCATCTCGCCAGCGGGACAAGCGGTAAGTCCAAACTTATGGCTACTCTGGCAGTGGGTAGTGGGTCAACTCTCAACTAACGGCCAAAGGGCAGGCAGGCGCTAATAAACCATGTACATATGTACGCCTGTCTGTGTGTGTGTGTGTGCGTGAATAAAGTGCTTGGTTTGCCACTTCAGGAGACTTTATGCCATCCGACAGTTGTGGCCCATAAAAGCCAATGACGTATGCCGGAAGTCATGTAAAAGGCAACGGAATATAATAAGCTCCAACTGGGCATCAATATTTATGGTAGGGCTGCCATTTCAGTAACCAATTTATGAGCTCTTGCTCTGCACTCAAAGGGCTAACACAAGACGAGAAGACGAGAAAGTCGTGTACGAGCTGATTTCATGTCAAAGGGTCAGCCAATGGGTACTTCAATTACGTGAGAAGCGCAGAGGAGGGCACACGCAGTTAGTTGAAAGTGGAAAATGGCTGAGCTAAGTAATTTTAAATCTTTGACTTATAGAGGCTAATGTTTATTCAATGTTTCTCCCTGACCGAGGCTAAAAATAATCGAAGTTTTTGCCATCTAAAAATAATTTGATTAAGTTTGCCAGAATGAAACTTTTCGGCTTTTCTTTTGTTTTCGATCTTAAATCTTTTTCCCAAGAAAAAAAGAAGAAGAGAACAAGAGAGAAAATCGTGCTTGTACGTGTGTAGCGAGGCTAGGACAAAGGAAGAATCAGAATGTCGAACAAAGTTTAAGGTCCAACGTTTCAAGGGGAAGTCCCAGCCGTGTCTATATTAAGTGCAATTTTTGGTCAGTGAAAAGGGCCCGAAGTGGAAACTTTATGGTATTCTTTTTGCGAGCATGTTCGGCCCCAATAATTAAATTGCCCTTAGCACGCCACAGCCATGAAATTAAAACAAAGCAAATTTAACGCTTTGCGCTGCTCCATTTTCCTTATTTTCCCAGCTACAATTAACGGCTGTCAATTTTCTTTAGCGCCCTTCAGTCCGCAGAATCGATGCTGATTTGTGGCACAAAGATGCCATAGAAGAGTCTGTGGCCCTGAAAAAAACATTTTCCAATTAGCGAAATTGCAGCGCAGCGGCTCATCAATATGAAACACAATCACAAGGAGAACAGCAATTAATGCTGAAAGAAAATATGGGCTAACGGCGCCCACATGTAGGAGTCATCACAGATGTCTAGGGCGTGGCTACAGCCTGGCCCAACCGGAACCAGCTGGGTAGCAAGTATTAGATAAAAACGATTTACCAACTGCCATTCACTGCCACAGCTGAAATACCAATATGCCAGCTGCCAACGTCGCGTCAGGGGAATTAAAGGGTTGTGTCAGATAGCTGACAGAGCAGGAGGCGGCTGAGCATCGGGATTTAGTTGAATAGTTGGCTGAACTAGGATTGAAATGCGTTATTCAACTGTCTCTTTGATGGATTTGGCTCTATAGCATTTAGATGAAAATATTCGAAATATGCAGCATATTTTGCTAAAAAATTTAATTAGAAACGTGGTTTTATTACACGCCGATCACTAACTTATATCACATTCCTTTAGAAGCCTTGTTTAATTCCACTAAAAAGTCTAAAATGCTGTGCAAACTTTGCTGGAATCATCACTCGCACTGTTCCCAGCAGCTGCATATCT